TTCTTAGAGCTCATGCTGGCAAAATGATATATTTGCCTATAACACAGAACTGTTTTTCCTTATTCCTACACAAAATAATGAATGAATTTTGTCGATAATTTCTCGTGGTAGAAGAGTAACTACTGTCTTTTGTCAATATTCCCTGCTTTCCATGTAGTTTTCTGGGATATGCTGAAAGTTCAGAATAAACATGTTAATATATTTATTTTGCATCATAAATCGTGGTAAGAGATTTTGTAATATTATACTGTTATTAAAAAGGAAGGATATTCCATAGAAGGCAGGAGCTCTCAAACTTGTCTTTGACCAGGAGGGAGAGATTTCCACTAGGAGGTCTGAACCGGCTAGCTCTTTGTTGTAGAATCATGCTACGCGTTGCAGTACACTAAGGAACAGCCCTGGGCTCTACTTGTGGATGTCAGTTGAGTGCTAAAACTACTTCAGAGACGACAACCAGAACTACCTTCAGACATTGCTAAATGAGCCCTGGGAGGCCAAATTCCCTTCCTCTAAAATTAGGGTTCTGAGATGACCGCCACCTTTAGACCCCAAATGAATAATGTTTACTTACTATCATTGTTTTCTTGGACTTTTACTCATATTTAAATTTTAAAAGTATATCCTTTGGGAGTTTGATTGAGTACTACCGATTTCTCTTATTTGCCTTTCTTCAATGCAACAAACTCTCACGTGCTTGAATTAGTCTGACCAATTTCATTAGCAAATCTCACACTCACTAATCCCATTAATTTGCCTGCCTGTCAGAGAATTCCCTAGTCTCTATCTGTGTCATATTTCCGCTTACAGAGTAGCTCTCACACTTGGGAAAGCTAGTCCAGTACCTGCAGTACTTCTAGTGTACATCTAAAAGAAAATTGATTTTAATGCTTTTGGCTAAAGTGCTAAAATTTCCAGTGGAAAAAAAATGTTTATCCTCTTTAAAATGTTTGTACTTTGTACGGTAGCACAAAATACCACAATTTAAAACCTTTCTTTTCCATTTAAAAGATAACACACCAAAATGAAATCATAGGTTCTATTACATTCCGATGTCACTATTAATATTTTTATTAAGGTACAGAGAGGAAGAATAATTTATCTAAAATATAGGAAATAGATTCTCTGGCACGCACATCACAAATTCATTCTCCTAGAATATTAGCCCATGCCAAAAAATTGATATGGAGAAAGTAGTTAATATGAGAGAAAAAGTGATAGTAGGTATGAGAGGCCATGAAAAAGTAGGACACAGAGCCCACTCCAGAAGACATTGCTACCAGGTGTGTTGTATAAAACATATAGTAGAGAACTATATAGTTGTACATGCTGTAAATCTTACCACATGCCTATAGTTCTTCATTTCTCCACAGAAAATATCAATCTCCAAAGAAGGAAACAGAAAAGTTCTGTATGTGTGCACACGCGTGTGCACACACACACACATCTACAAAAATCTATGCATGGCTGCATTATCTTCTATTTGTGTTTTTTCCGCTTCCCACTGTTCACTTACCCCTAACTACACTTTGGTTGTTGCATTTATTATTAAACATCATGTTGCGTGATTTTAATTCACAAATGAAAAACATGTATTATATAAAATGTAAGTTTTCAAATATGTATATATTGTGGAATGGGTAAATTGGTCTAATTAACCTATGTATTTTTTCATTTACATATTTTTATTTTTTGTTCAGTTAAAACATTTAAATTCTAATCCCTTAGCATTATTCAAGATAGTCCTCCTTTGTGCTCCATGATCATATATTTTCCCCTTACAAATTAAAACTTTATTTATAGGAGATAGTTTTTTAAATTGAGTTTATTGGTACATTTTAGCTTTACAGAACTGTGACATTCATTGTTGGGAATTTGTACCTCTACATGACAGGTCTTGGTTCTCATTTTTTCCCCTTGTCCCTGCCCTCCCTTCACCCCCTCCTACCCTCCCCATTTACAGACACTTTATTTCCATTTTTTCTTTTTCTCATATTTTTCCTTTTCTCTTATTTCCTTTCCCCTACCCTTCCCACTTTCCCTACACCTTTAGCCCCTTTCTTCCTATTTCACATTGTTAATTATCTCATTAGAATCTTATGTACTATTATAGTTTTTCTCACCAGAGAAACTATTTGGTATTTACACATGTGTGACTTATATATTTCATTTAAGAGTATATCCTCAAAATGTATCCATTTTCCTATGAATGAATCTAATTTCTCATTCTTTATGGCTGAGTAGTATTCCATTTTATAGAAAAGCCACATCTTCTTTCTTCAGTTTCCAACTGATGGGCAAATGGGCTGTTTCCAAGTTTTAGCTATTACAAACTGTGCTGCTATAAACATGGGTACACATATATCACTGTGATATGATTCTTTTAATTCTTTTGGAAAGATACCCAACAGAGGGATGGCTGGGTCAAATGGAACCTCTATTCCTAGTTCTTTGAGGTATCATGTTGATTTCCATAGTGGTTGCACCAGTCTGCACTCCCACCAACAATGGAGAAGGGTTCCTTTCTCCCCACAACCCCACCAACATTTGTTACTGTGTGATTTCTTGATAGCAGCCATTCTTTGTGGGGTGAGGTGGAATCTCAGTGTTGTTTTCACCTGCATCTCTCGAATGACCAGTGATGTGGAACATTTTTTCACATATTTACTTGCTGCTTTTACTTCTTTGTCTGAGAAATGTCTGTTCATTTCAGATGCCCAGTTTTTAATATTGGAGACAATTTAAGTGTAGGAATTTTACCAGGAGGTCTCGTGAAGAATCCTATGGAGCTCTTCTGGGAATAAGAATGCTGATGAAGACCCTTATATAGATATAGACCCTTACCAAATGTAAAGTTACTATTGACATATGTGTCCTTTAAAAGAAAAATAGAAGCTTCTTTTACTATGTTGGGATCCATATCTTAATGAAATGCATATTACATTTTTGATTGTACCAATTTCCATGACAAAGTTTATAATAACATAATTTTAGCTAGTTTTAGTGATTTTTTTACATTGACTGAATTACACACAAGGCCCCAACATGAAGGCTTTGAATTGATCACAGACAGTTGCTTATTTTCATGGCCAACAGAGTCCATCTGCTTACAAATTCCTTCACAAACATCTTTTTAAAAATATTAACTATCATAAAAGCGAATATGTATTCTCCAAATATGTGGAAGTGTAATATTAATCTTTACATAGCAATTAACAATTTTGACTATACATTGCTTTTCAGCAGATTTTGAATTCTTAAAGTAACTTAATTGTGATTTTCTCAATTGACACAATAAAAGACTAAATTGTTTTCTTTTTATTTTAGAAGTGAGATACTTAGAATAAAAGTGTTATGTTAGTTGCCTATAGTTTATATGCCTACTTGTGGTGGAGCTTAGAATCAAGGTGTGTTAGAATGTAAGAATCTGGTTGTTTTTCTCCATAAAATGTGTGATGTTAAGGATTTGAAGATGATTAAAATGGAATGGTAGCAGTTAAGAAGAGGATTGCATGTAAGACCATGGGGCTCTCATGCTCTGTCTGTGTCTGTCTGTCTGTCTCTCTCTCTCTCTCTCTCAAGACATAGATAAATATGTATAAATAGACATGCATAAATATATATTCATATCTATTACCTTCATATGCATGAAGGTAAATCAGAACAAGGTTTTAGAATTTTTTAAAGCAATCATGTATGATTAATAGTGAAGAATGAATAAATTTGCTGTTGAACAAAAAAATCATGACTTTGAATTATTGCAAAATGTCTTCTCAATAAGTAGTACAAATGTCATTGCCTATAATATTTAAAGGGACTAGAATCCACTATCTAGCATGAACATTGTGTTATTCTTTAGGACTTTTCAGATTTGCGTGAACATCCAATGGGCACTTTCATGGGGAACAGTTTGCCCAGATGTAAGTCACGATCTGAGTTAGTGATTCTCAACTAGTGATTTATATTCCAGTGTGAGATGTGCATAGATATTGTGCAGGAGATATGCAGTATTTTCTTATTAGTTGTTAAAGCAATTATAAAGTAACCATTGACATACGTGTCCTCTAAAAGAAAAATAGAAGCTTCTTCTTTTATTTTGTTGGATCGATATTTTAAAGACTGTGATTTTACTGCTGCAAACTTATTTTCTTTTAATGGATAGTTATGTTTTGAATTAATAGAGTTCTTTAAAAACAGACCTTTAAAGCATTAAGATAATAATTATAGTCTCTTTACTTCGCTTGACCTATTTATTGAACCTAAATCTTCCCATTTCTCGCTGTCAGAAAAAACCTAGTTAGAATAAAAAGTGCAGGGGAACATACTAGTGTAAACTTCTGCAGAAGGTGAGAAAACACTCCTGAAGTATGAATCCAATTCCGAACTTAATTCAGTTCCTTAAAACAAAGTAGGAATAACTTAGAGAAATTGTTGAGCATTTCTGCCACTTATTTCATTCTTCAAGGTGACTAAATATGTCCCATCTCCACCTGCATGTGCCTTATCTACTTTTCAGAACCTAGATGCAAGTTGTAATTCTCTGCAATTATCTAGATAATGGCAACTGATAACCTTTCTGAGTTGAACATTGCAGTATTCATTCAAAAAACATTTGCAGCTTGAAAATCAACCTCTTCTTTCAAAGCCATCCATTTCTAGTATTATTTGTCAAATGTCCCACTCCAGAATAAAACTGTAATTATAATATCCAGGAGTGAGTTTCTGTAAGCATGAATTGCTGTGTGACCTTCCCTATGGAATCATTACTTTAGCATCAAACCTTAAAGTTCAATTGCACGCATCTGCTTTGTATTAGTGAGAACACTTTTGTATAGGCTCACATATCACCACCCATTGTTTTAATATATTCAAATACACACATTGCTTGGGGACATCAGGAGGGTGGATCTCTGGGTATGCATAATATCACATGCTATGTGGTTCTTAACAAAAGACCTTAGATGATGATAGTAAAATTCTTTTTGGCTTCCTTTATTTCACAGGATTACACCCTCACCATGTATTTCCAGCAGTCTTGGAAAGACAAAAGACTTTCTTATTCTGGAATCCCACTAAACCTCACCCTAGACAACAGAGTAGCTGACCAACTCTGGGTACCAGACACCTACTTTCTGAATGACAAGAAATCATTTGTGCACGGGGTCACAGTGAAAAATCGAATGATCCGACTGCATCCTGATGGAACAGTTCTCTATGGACTCAGGTAAATGACTTCACATTGCATGTCTCAATGTCATTGCTCTTGTTTCAATTCCTACTTTGGGAAGCGGGCAGAGGGGAGAGAAGCAATTAGGAAATGCTTTCATAATGCATAATATCCTGTGTTAAGGATTAAAAAATCTCTTTTGGAATTATTTAAGTTCAATATAGTCAGCATTGTCCATCAATGCAGTTGAACATTTTTTCCTGATCATCAAACACTAAAGTAATAAGAAAGTTGGTTCTTAAGGAGATATTTCTTTCATATCTAGCTTGCTCTAGAAGTTATATCATTTTTAGTTAATTGCTTGTTTTTCTCAGAGCCACCCTGAATGACATGAAGCGTGTTCTGTATGTTGGGTATAGCTACTTCACTATGGAAAGGAATTAGGAAACAATTTTATGAAGAAATTAGAAAATACTGTGTGGCAACTTTGAGAAGATTTAGTGTTTTTATTCTTTTAGATTTTTATATTTTAGTTTTCATATTTAGAGCTAGGTCCACATTAAATTAATTTTTATGATTTGTGTAAGGTAGGAAGTAGAGGTTCAATTTTTCCCATGACTATCCAGTTATTTGAGTATCATTTGTCATTGGATTGTGTTGGTGGCTTTGATGGTACATGTGTAGGTTAATTTCAAGACTGTTCTGCTCCATTGTTCTACTATTTGTCCTTGGGTCATGTTACTCTATTATAATTATACTTCCTCAATGGCAAGTCATGAAGTCAAGGAGTGTAAGTCCTCTGTGTTTATTTTGCAAGAGTTGCTTAGATTTATAAGGTCCTTTGCTCTCCTTATAGCTTTTAAAATTAATTTCTTAACTTCTACCAGAAAAAAAAGGCTGCTAGCATTATAATTGCAATATATTGAATCTAGAGATCAGTTGTGAAGAATTGAAATCACAAAATTATCTAGACTTCTAAAATATGAACAAGAATTATTTAGATTCTTTTTGCCAGTGATGTTTTGTACCACAGTGTGTTTTTGTGTGTGTTTTGTTTAGTAATTAGGAAAAAGTGGCACAAAGCAGGTATCACAAGCTTCTGGAGATCTATCACTAATCTACTTGGGGTTATAAGGGCTTATTAAAATTTCTAAGCTGTGTTTCAAAATTAGCTTCCAGTTTTTTCAAAGAAAGATATGCATTGTGACCCGTTCTGGGATACGTAGATGGGTAGTCTTCAACCTTTGATGAACCACTTTTGTTGTTCAGCCACTTTTGTTATCTTTTTGAGAGACAGACTAAAGCTACATGGTCTGTCTATCTATCTGTCTATCTATCTGTCTATCTATCTATCTATCTATCTATCTATCTATCTATATCTTTTATACCATTTTGGAGTGTTCATAAGCTCTCTAAAATCCTCCCATGTACCACAATCACCAAACTAAGGCTCTAGTTACAGACCAAAATTCTATAATTTATAATGTCTGTAAATTCACCAATTATCTCAAATGGATATAAATATACATTGAGATAAAGCTTCTAATCTTGATTTAATGGTTGATACTTTGATCTTCATTTAGACAGTGAAATGTGTCAGGGTTGATTTTGACAAAATGTTCTTTGGAATTTTTTCACTTCTTCAGTATTCCAAAAACTTCCAACTACAAAAATCTCTGAGCTAAAAGTGTCATGGAAAAATCTGACATAAAGTAACATTTGCTTTGAGGCTGCTGATAATGACTACAGGCAAAACCTACCAATCTGAGGTTAGTGATTGATTAGTAGTGATAGTTCATCCACTGGAAATAAACCATTTTTTGTTAGCTATCCAAATTCTATCAATGTGTATCCTGGGAAAACAATTCAGTGACCCAACTCAATCAGCTAATCATCTATTATATGTGTAAGGATACTGATTAGTTAAATATATAAAATGTTTCTCTGTTTAAAAAAATTGTATTACTTGCAAGACTGGTGGTCAAATTGTCATTTTCTGAGTTTCTTTTTGGTCAGTTTCCAAATTACTGACAACTGCTACTGATAAAAAAGATACAAAGAAAAAGCATATGAAACAATAATGAATTTTAAAACTTAGAAAACTGAAACGAAAAAGGGCAGAGGGCCTTATATAAGGGCAGAATCAAGTAATGACAGACTTTATTGTCATTGGGACTAAAACTGGGACTACAATTTTGATATCTGAGTCCCCAAAACATGCTTTTCTCCATCCATTTCCATTCAAACACACTTAGAAGTCAATAACTCCTTACAAATTTTGTACATGATTGCTTTCTCCTCTGAGAGACAAACTAGGTCTTTGTAGACAGACGATGATCATCCAATGAGAAACACAAAGTATTCCTTTACCACCTGGTAAATGAGCTTTTTATGACACCAGTTTTTTCCATAAGTACTTCAGATCCGCTCTGGTATGATTCCTTACACCTTTCCTGTCTTCCCATGACCTCCTCCTGCACAGGTTTGGTTTTATTTCTCTTAGAGGTTTCAGCAACCTCAGAAAGACCATAAAGTACAGCAAAGAAAGTATGACAGCTGAAATTGGAAGGCCAGGGTTAGGACTTCAGTATCACACTTTTTACAGTGCTTCACTTTGAACAAAGTACAAAATTTTTCTAAGCCTTAGTTTTATCATACGTAGTAAGAGATTAAGAGCCTATAACTCATTATTAAGAAAATCCTGTAAAATGATTCATAGCAGAGAGAAAACATTGTAAGCCTTATATTTCTCTAGAGCAATTGTACCTTACACAGCCTTTACCAGATACAGGAAAAGCTGTGTTTTGAGGGTGGTTCTTTAACTCACAAGGGTATCAGTGATTACACCCAAGATGCATTTTTCTAATTAAGAAAACACTAATTAAATGACTCTCATGTGCACTCATTCATTATTGTGGCCTTGGGAATAATTTTTCTAGTGCTTGGTGGAAATGTGTCATGGTAGCAGAGTGAAAAGCCCCAGGATCTGAGAGCCACAAGATTTGTGGCCTAACCAGGGGTGGCCCTGGAGCCAGCTATTTCATCTCCCTTGGAGATTGGGGGAAATTATCCCAAACTGCCTTCTGAGCCTAAGTTCCATTGACTTTATCATCCCGTATATTAAAAGGTGCTCAGTTTTAATTCACCTCACGTAACGTTTCCTAATTGTAAAAATGAAAATAATGTGCTTTTTGTTGTAAAAGCCTATTATAGTTTAGATCTAGAATGTCCCCAAAGCTTCATATGTTTTGAGAGAGAACTTCTGAAAGGTGATTAGATCCTGGGAGCATTATATGCATCAGTGGATTAACTCACTGAGAGAAGACAGCTATGTGTATTGTTAAGAGGCAAGGCCTGGCCTGTAAAGACACTTACGGGGATGTAACCTGGACAGGTATATTATTGCCCTGGCTCCTCTGTTTGCTGTACTTCTTAGCTGCCACAACATGAGCAACTTTCCTGTACTGGGGCCCTTCTCTCTTGCCATTTTTCCCTTGAGCCTGCCAAACATGAACTGAAATTCTGAAACTGTGAGTCAAAATAAATCTCTTGTTAAATTATAGGTTTCAAGTATTAGTCCCAGCAATAGGAAGGTGACTAAGGTAGAGCCTTTTGAAGAATAGCTACCATTTATCACATCGTAAGCAAGCATAGTAGAAAATCCCTATCATATAACATAGATACTGGCATCTTCATAGCTGTACAATACTTATTTTGGACATGACTAATCAGGAGAATGAAAATAATGTCCTTATTCTTTTTCATAAGGCCAGCTAGTAGTCATTGTGAATAAGGGCATAAATTAATGAGTAATTTTTAGCAATGACAGGATCAATGAGATTTTCTGAGTGCACCCTATAGTCCCTTTGACCAGATATTTCATCATCATAAGACCATATGATTAAACTAAATCAATTTCCTACATTCTAATTCGATGTGAGATGTTACAACTTAATTCATATGAATCATATGAATAGAGTTCATCATTTTCTGTTTTTGTGAACTATGTCAAATTGAATTTTACATCCAATGCATGTTATTTAGAACGACAAATAACAGAATGGTGTCAGGCAGGCGACTGGTCCTTTTGAGCAACCAGGCTGCTGTTGTGCCTCCTTTCCTGTGTGCCCTGCTCTTGAGCCACCCTTGCTATGGTGAAAAGCATTACATCCAAAGGTAAACCTGCAAGCAATATTATTTCCTCTTTTATTCAGTGAGGTATCTACTTGAAGGATGGTTGTGCTGTGCTTTGAGCTGTGTCCATGTCTCACGAACCTTCTGTCCTGCTCATCTCAAAGCCCATAATGTCCTTCCTTTTTTTTTTTTTTAAATTGAAGGCTATGTGGCAGGATTGTTGGTAAAAAGGAACCCTTCTCCACTGTTGGTGGCAGTGCAAATTGGTGCAACCACTGTGGAAGTCAGTGTGGAGATTCCTCAAAGAACTAGGATTAGAGGTTCCATTTAACACAGCTATTCCCCTATTGGGTATCTTCCCAAAAGAATGAAAAGCATCATACTACAGTGATATGTGTGCACTCATGCTTATTCTAACAGCACAGTTTTTAATAGCTAAATCTTGGAAACAACCCAAATGCCTGTCAACTGCAACTGGTGACTGGATAAATAATTCTTATTTTATAAAATGGAGTACTACTAGTCCTAAAGAAAGATAAACTAGAGACATTTATACCTAAATGATTGCATATTGAGGATTTGCTCTTAAATGAAATAAATAGGACACAGGTGTATAAATATCAACTTGTCTCTCTGGTGTGAGAAACTCAAAGTATAAATGAGGACCAAAATATGTATAGTAGATAATGGGAAATAAGAAGCAAAGGTTCAAAGAGAAAGGAGAAATGAGGGGGGAGAAAAATATATGAGAAAAGAACAAAGAAAGTGGAAACAAAGGTTTTGTAAATAGGGAGGATTAGAGAGGTGGGAGGGAAGAGGAATGGGATCTAAGATATACCGTGTGCAGGCACAAATTCCCAGCGATGAACGTGGTCATAATGTATACCTCAAGTGTACCAATAAAGGTAACTAAAGCAATGGAA